GAACCCATGCCTGTTACAAACAGTAGCTGTCCTAACTGATCCTAAAATTAACTTTGGCTACGTCTATCACAAAATTAACATTGGCTGTCTATTACAAATGCCACATTTAGCTACGGTAGAGGTATTTCAAAAATGTATGTCATTGTAGCTGAAAGGACATAATTAATGGTTACTTAACCAGAACTACAATTCTGAACAAACCACTACAAAGCCTGGTTAACTGTACTAAGAAAATGTCCTCTCAATCAATCAATTTCATTGATTATTGACATCTTATTGTTGTACATACGGTCACTTAAAGTTTCAACTTGACTTTTAATAAGGTCCAAAGTGATAATACTTAATTAGCTCTCGAGGGGTATTGGTTAGACTATTTATCCCATTTCATTCCAATCACCATGGAAATAAAACTCTAAAACGCTAAAAAACAGTCGACAATTAATGACAAATATTGAGCCTAGGGCTGGGTAAAATTGATGAATCAAAAGTGTTGAACTGAAAGTGGACGCTGTTGACACAATACTGAAATTTCTGAGATGAACAAATACAGTACATATATTAAAAGTTCAGGCATAATAAGAATTGTACCAATTACACTTTACACATTCACACTGGGACCTTACACTTTACACATTCACACTGGGACCTAACACTTTGCTAGGTTTATCCTAATCTTCATTAAAACACTTTCCGGGATTCAGATGTTAATTGACATCTTCATTATTCCCAATCTTCCTATTGTAATCGTTAATTTTAAGCAAAGCTATATATATTAACTTCATCACAATTGGCATTCAACTGCTTCAAAGGAAAAGTCTACAATAGCAAAATATTTTTAAAGAAAAATATATTACACAGTGCTATGGCGGCAGTGCCCAGCCACTTGCGCGATGAGACCATTATGAAACGATCATTCAAAAATAAATCCATGTCAAAATAATGAAATACTTTACGGAAGCAACAAAAATGTGCTAGATGCTTACATAACATTTTTCAATGCATACTGCTTCAAAGGAAAAGTCTTGAAAATATTTTGAAAAAAAGTGCGGCGGCAGTGCCCAGCTTGCGCGTCGCCGTCGATTTCAAATTTCACATGAATTGTTCCAAAAAATGCAATTGCTAGTTCAGTATCAGTATTGACTTTAAATTCAGCTTACACACACACATATATATAGTGATACTTACCTACATAAATTACCCGCCGTCTTCTTTCAGCCGCCGTCTTCTTTCAGGGTCCAGCAGCACTGAGCACCCGGCTGTTTCCGTCAAAATTTTATGCTACTCTAAATCATTCTTATTTTAGTTTCATTTTTATTTTCAACTACATATTTCAGTATTTTAATAGTTTTCAATAGTATTAAACGGGAAGTAAATTTTCGAAAAAGAAAAAAAAGAAAGTAATACAAATGTATATGACACCCACAATGCATCGCGCGGAAAAGAAAGTTAAGTCGCCATATTGGCATCGCATTGCAAAATTTACCACCATAAACGTGAGTCTTTGTCATTGTATTTACAAATTTCGATGTCTGATTATCATTAATACACAACACAAAACGTTTTCTTGATGTACAAGTAATGAAGAAAATGTCGATAAGGTTGTTTCATTTAATGACTAGCATCAGCAACTTGTAGGGGCGATAATCCAATGATTACAGTAATGTCCGGCAGATGGAGTAGGAGTAAACTTTCGATTTATGAACCAATGGAAACGAAGTACTGATACTCAGGGGCGAAAGCAACATGCTGAAGAGCATTGAAAATGCTACTAGCATAAAAACTTCAGTTAGAATCTGCTAGAATTATCACTGGTTTACCATCATATACCAGTAGAAAGTCTATTCTGAAAGTGGTCTAGAACTGCTATCAGAAAGACGCTCCAGGAGAAAACTACAGCTTTTCCACAAAATAAAAAACAATCTCACTCCTAACTATCTGTCCTCTCTGTTGCCCCCTTTAATATCAGAAAACTCTCAATATAACATCCGTAATGCACAAAATTACTCTTTACCAAATTTCCGACTACAACTAACAAATTGTTCTTTTTTTCGTCTACTACCCGATTTTGTAACCAACTTGAACTTGAAATTAGACAAAGTGTTTCTTGCTCTGTCTGTAAAAATTCCCTTCGAACCCCTACAGTACTTCCAAATTATTATTTAATTGGTAGTCGTAAGGCTAATATACTGCACGCGAGGTTAAGAAATAAATCCAGTACCTTTAACAATGACCTTTTTCAGTTCCAATCTTATATATAACCGTTGCTGTCAATGTGGACATCCTGTTGAAGACACTTACCACTATTTTTGTTTGTTTGTGATAATCATGCGGACCAGAGATCGATTATATACCGATAACTACATAATTTTATTCCTCTAGACCTGCAGTTACTTCTATATGGTAGCATTAACTACTCGTATGAAGATAATGTAAAACTATGTCAAATCGCTCAGCAGTATATACTGAACACTCAAATAGATTTTGATATCTCTCTCTCTCCGCGTAATAATTGTATGTCGTCTTGTCTTGTTAATATGTATTTTGTCAAACTTTATAGGAAAGGGCTTAATATAAGTCAGAAAACTTGTGCCCAATCCAACCTGTATATTTGATGCCAATAAAACATGTTTAAATCAAATAATGTATTTGGGACCAGAATCTTATTTTCAACTTTTAAATTGGAAAGAATAATTTTTCATCTATTTCTTTATATTTTTTTTCAGTTTATTCCACGCTTTTGAATCAGTAAGTCAAAAGGGTCGACTTAGAAACCTGAAACAGTTTTTATTTTGCTTTATCGAAAGTAAAATAAGTTTCCTTGGTAAATGGCATCAGCCAAACGGCACGACACTGAGTTTAAGTTTAAATAGATAACTTTTCATCGTGCAAAAAAAAAAGGAGCGAATCCCCATTCAAGATCAAATAACAGTGGAAAATCTCCGGTACAATAAAATGGACACCTTTACTCACCTAGTTAGAAGAACTCCTAATTAAACATGTATCAATCGTCATTTTAAATAAAGGAATCACTTTTCATTGGAAGGCAGAGTACAAGCCACACCTCATGTATTCTTCACTATATGTATTTATGTCATCATCATACATGTTCCAATTGTCTTGGTGACAGACGTAGGTATTTTAAAAGTTAATTAGCCGACACATTAATATATGATATAGTTTACAAGTGTTGTGGGTTGTCTCCCGTCACATGTAACATATTGCTGCAACTGTATTATGATACTCTCGGCTGTAATAGCAATTGACAACACCCCAGCACCCCCACCGCCCCCACCGCCACCCCCACCCCTACAGGCAATCATCGCGTTCGCTGTCCATTTCTCTCCTTATCCTAACAGCGTGCATGCATGGGTTATTATGTCAACAACATAAACACCCGGAAGTAAAATTGTGTGATTAGAAATATTTTTATCACATATTAAGTGCTGAAGTGTTTCAAAAAAATGTGATATTTAGGAACAAAACAACTAGCGGTACTTGTGTGTTTCTGTGGTTCGTGTACATATTAAATATTAAGAGCTTTGCGTGTCCATTCTAAAAACTTACCTTTTTAACCAAATCACCAAAGCCACCACAGTCACGCCTTGATACATAAATCGATTTATATTTAACACACTAGCATGTCGCTAACGTTCCTTGGGATTCAAGGTCACCATACATCGAGCGTACCGACGTAACACGTTATATTTATTACAGTTATTATTCAAATTATTTTTTTATGTATTTTTTTTATTAAAATTAGCTTAATATTGTATGAGGTATATGATGATCAAAATGTTGTTTTTTGTCATATTCTTAAGTTTATGAATACAAATGATTTTGTGAGCACTGTCCAAAGCTAATAATCAGAATTCAGGATAGTAATGTTATATAATTTTCAGTTTCAGCAATGATGGTGAAAATCTGTCACTTAGGTATTAAACAAACGTTATGTATTAACCAAAGGAAGCTGTAGTATATCTTACAGATCCCTTATCCTGATAACTTTTTAAGGATTTGAAAGAGTCTACCAGTTTATGTGTAGGTTGTAAAATATTTATAGAAAGATAATTTTAAAGTGCAATTTGAAATTGCATAATAATATTTATTGTAATGCTGTTAGCCTTAACGTTGATGTAGTGTAGTCTGACTCGCTGATCTAGACTAGCTGGATCTGCCAACATTTTTCAACGACTGTTGAGGAGTTATAATTATCATTATTTATGAGTTAGCACATTAATATATAGATAATTCGCATCCTGTATTTATGTCTCCCTACCACAAACCTGAGTCCCTAGTGATCTGGCAGTTACTTAAGAATTGTGTGTTGACAGTCTGTTGTCTTATTTTTAGCTGTTGTTGATTTCTACATGGATAAATATATAGAAATATATACATGAATTGTAAGGCAACCCAGAATTAAATAAACAATAATTTGAACGTACAACCATGAAAGATTACGCCCTATATAATGTTCTAGCCAAATATAAGACCGAACACCGTGTTACTGTCGGTTGTAGAAGCCTAATCTAATTCCTAGGAGATTCAAAATGTCCACTAAGATATGTGGCAAGTAATCGTGGGAAGGCAGAAAAAAAATTCGGTCAGCTTGTGATTGCTGTGAGAGTGACGATGTACGTGGTGTTGTGATAAAGCCGTCAGCACTAGCCTGTGGAAGGAACCCCACTTTTGACCACACGTGTGTGTATTGTTATATTATACATGTAGTAAGATCGAGAATTTCGAAGAGATATTCAGAAAATTGTGATTTATATGCATGAACAATTTTTTGTTTCCAAAGAGTAACTAATGATTAGAAGATTTTTTAAAATATAAAAATGATATATTTACTTGTATTTCTATGATATAATTATCATTAATCATACATCATGTTAACACATACAGTTGGATCCGAAAAGTGTAAATAGAACACATTATTTAAAAAAAAATAGACACAATTATTAAAGAATAATGATAAAGTAAATGTTATTTACGATACTCACACACTAAACAATTCAACGTGTCCTGTTTATATCAGCACCGCTGTATCTTTTAACACAGCCATGGAATACATACACCCTCTGATTCCGGTCGACAAGCTGATTACACGGCTCATATGTATGGGGCATTAACCTATAGTGCAGGCCCCCTTAGTGGCGGTACGTCATGAAAATACGATGCCATCCCTGGATAAATATTCATCTTAATCTACAACCTTGACGCACTTCGTTTGACAGGAATTTTGAATGACACATTCATAAATCATGACGCCAGAATCACGCCCGAGGCTGTGAGGTTTTGTTAGGAACAATAAGGAATCCTCACATTCACGTGTTGTCTAATAACAAAGTCAACAACAGTACTTCATACATGGACCGAATATTTAATCTTTTTTATGATGCATTCCAAATAAAATACAGTTTGTGAGTCATTTTTTCGTGTGTCTGTTTTGTGTAAATCACTACTATCAACAAATGTTGATAACAGTTGTTAAGACTATTTCAAATGTCCCCCATTTGATTTTCAAGAAAAATATCAAATCGCAAAAATATAAATTTCTAAACTTAATAGAGAAATCAGAACATCTGGAAAAATCTATTTGATTCTAACTTTTCGTATAACCATAAATATTTGAAGAACAAAAGAAACATTTTTTCCCTAGCTGCACGGCCAGTTATTTTTATGTTTTCTTAAATAAATACCGTTTAACCTACAGCAATCTTTTTGAACCGTGCTCGCTGCATTTTCACGATACACTAAGCAAATATCTTATATGACGTGTTATTGTAGAAAAAAGAACATTTTAGCGATATTCGTTGACAAAAACAACAACCAACTTGGTCGGTTTCCTCGAGACCACATTACGACCAATCTAACAGAGTTGTCGTTCCTTATTCACAATAGACGTCATGACGACAGGTGTTACCTTGTTCACATTGATTGATATTTATCATCCAAGCAAAAGTTAAGCTAATTTGAGTTTCATGCATTCAATATTCATGAATTACTCAGCTAATTTAAATATTTCGATTGATTTAGGAAGTGTTGGAAGACTCAATGCCGTGTCAGAGAGGGGACATAACTCCCGAAAACTCTCAGAAATGAGAAATGTGGAGCCGAAGTATTTACAGGTTAACATATATAATAACACAAAGGAACATCAGTTAGAGGTGTACGAATACCCAAGTTTTCAGTTAGCTTTAATAAACAATTTAAAACATTATATCATATTCCATTCCTCTATCGATGTTCCGGACGTGATTTATATATCCGGATGTTCTGTACATTTTAGGAACCTTCCTAATGGATTTTCAAAGTATTGTCAACATCAAACTGTCTTTGCTTTCATCAGTTCTAATAAACGAAAATTATTATATCACATTAATTACGTTATAACAGATGGACGACATCCAATCAATCAGCGGTGACACTGTAATTAAAACGGAGAGAGACTAAATTGATTTATCTAGAACTTATATAATTATAATTACAACAACTACACGTTGAAATGCATTAAAATGTTCTTGTAGCCACTATAAGGAATAATCTCGTGTTACCGTATTTTTCCAGTTCATTTTCACACGTGTTGTGATTTGATCTAGTTCTATCTCGTGAGGATCTCGTGAAAAGTCAACGTTTACGGATAACTAACGCTTGGAAAACAAAACCTCATTTTCAAGGGGAGAATATTGATGGTCAGCGAAATACTGGTGGTTTTTTCCCGTTTTTTTTTGTTTTGTTTTTTGTTTGTTTTTGTCTGAATTATCTCCCTTGATAAAGATGGTTATCAAAATTTTAAGTTTACTTGGGATAAAACATGATAACCAAGGATAAGAATGTTATTTGAATGTAGGAAATCAAATAACTTTGCAAAATGAGCAATAAGTAATATTTATAAAATAATAATAAAATATATAAATTCATTTGCATCGTGTTTATAAAAAAAAGCAATATGGACATTTCAAATAAAAGAATGTAAAACAGATTTAACACAGTTTTTTTTGTAATTTTTTATCTGTTCGTTTCTGCTGAATTATGTCTCTTTCCAATATCAATAAAGTCATGAAATTAACAAAGGGCAATAACCCTTCCAATGATTAACGAAACAAAATACTTAGAAAGAAAACATAGTAACGCTATGATAGAAACTGATGAAGGAAACTTACATGAACAAAGCGCTACCATGGAATAAACTTAGAATGGTCAAAGTCTGTGGTGCTACATAACGTTTTGAAAAAAAATCAAATGAAAATTCATAGATTGAAAGAACCACTGTATACAAAATACAATCATCGTTACACAAGGGATAAAACAGCACAACATCATCGAAATTCCAATTTAGAGTGATGGAACAATAGCTACAATAACATATCAGTGAATGAGAAGTAGCATCGCTACCTGTTTTTGTAAGATAGTTGTGATGATATTATGATACTCCTGTCATGAGACAAGCTATACAAAACTGTTGAAATATGAACAAATTATAGAAATATGGAAATTAAACAATGGAAATTCCTAGTACATGAAGAAAAGTTTGATGATTGTAACAAATAATACCTTTAAACAAAGATTTAGATGTTACGTTCAGTAAGGATGAAACATGGTTTATTTACAAACAGTCCATCAATATAAAAGAAACAAATCATACAGTGCACCTTACACAAAGTAGGCCATTTTAAGACTGACATTTCACAAAGTAGGTCATTTTAAGGCTGACATTTCACATAGTGGACCATTTTAAGACTGACATTTCACAAAGTAGGTCATTTTAAGGATGACATCTCACACAGTAGGCCATTTTAAGACTGACATTTCACACAGTGGGCCATTTTAAGACTGACATTTCACAAAGTAGGTCATTTTAAGGCTGACATCTCACACAGTAGGACATTTTAAGGCTGCCATCTCACACAGTAGGTCATTTTAAGGCTGACATTTCACACAGTAGGTCATTTTAAGGCTGACATTTCACAAAGTAGGTCATTTTAAGACTGACATTTCACAAAGTAGGTCATTTTAAGGCTGACATCTCACACAGTGGGACATTTTAAGGCTGACATCTCACACAGTAGGTCATTTCAAGGCTGACATTTCACACAGTAGGTCATTTTAAGGCTGACATTTCATAAAGTAGGTCATTTTAAGGCTGACATCTCACACAGTGGGCCATTTTAAGGCTGACATTTCACAAAGTATGTCATTTTAAGGCTGACATCTCACACAGTAGGCCATTTTAAGGCTGACATTTCACACAGTGGGACATTTTAAGGCTGACATCTCACACAGTAGGACATTTTAAGGCTGATATCTCACACAGTAGGACATTTTAAAGCTGACATCTCACACAGTAGGCCATTTTAAGGCTGACATTTCACAAAGTAGGTTATTTTAAGGCTGACATTTCACAAAGTAGGACATTTTAAGGCTGACATCTCACACAGTAGGACATTTTAAGGCTGACATCTCACACAGTAGGCCATTTTAAGGCTGACATTTCACAAAGTAGGTTATTTTAAGGCTGACATCTCACACAGTAGGCCATTTTAAGGCTGACATTTCACAAAGTATGTCATTTTAAGGATGACATCTCACACAGTAGGCCATTTTAAGACTGACATTTCACACAGTGGGCCATTTTAAGACTGACATTTCACAAAGTAGGTTATTTTAAGGCTGACATCTCACACAGTAGGCCATTTTAAGGCTGACATTTCACAAAGTAGGACATTTTAAGGCTGACATCTCACACAGTAGGACATTTTAAGGCTGACATCTCACACAGTAGGCCATTTTAAGGCTGACATTTCACAAAGTAGGTTATTTTAAGGCTGACATCTCACACAGTAGGCCATTTTAAGGCTGACATTTCACAAAGTATGTCATTTTAAGGATGACATCTCACACAGTAGGCCATTTTAAGACTGACATTTCACACAGTGGGCCATTTTAAGACTGACATTTCACAAAGTAGGTTATTTTAAGGCTGACATCTCACACAGTAGGCCATTTTAAGGCTGACATTTCACAAAGTAGGACATTTTAAGGCTGACATCTCACACAGTAGGACATTTTAAGGCTGACATCTCACACAGTAGGCCATTTTAAGGCTGACATTTCACAAAGTAGGTTATTTTAAGGATGACATCTCACACAGTAGGCCATTTTAAGACTGACATTTCACACAGTGGGCCATTTTAAGACTGACATTTCACAAAGTAGGTCATTTTAAGGCTGACATTTCACACAGTGGGCCATTTTAAGACTGACATTTCACAAAGTAAGTCATTTTAAGGATGACATCTCACACAGTAGGCCATTTTAAGGCTGACATTTCACACAGTATTTTAAGGTCTCACACAGTGGGCCATTTAAGGCTGACATCAAACAGTGGGCCATTTTAAGGCTGACATCTCACACAGTGGGCCATTTTAAGGCTGACGTCTCACGCAGTAGGCCTTTTTAAGGCTGCCATCTCACACAGTGGGCCATTTTAAGGCTGCCATCTCACACAGTGGGTCATTTTAAGGCTGACATCTCACACAGTGGGCCATTGTAAGGCTGCCATCTCACACAGTGGGCCATTTTAAGGCTGACAACTCACACAGTGGGCCATTTTAAGGCTGACATCTCACACAGCAGGCCATTTTCAAGGCTGACATCTCACACAGTAGGCCATTTTAAGGCTGACATCTCACACAGTAGGCCATTTTAAGGCTGACATTTCACAAAGTAGGTCATTTTAAGACTGACATCTCACACAGTGGGCCATTTTAAGCTGACATCTCAAACAGTGGGTCAATTTAAGGCTGCCATCTCACACAGTAGGTCATTTTAAGGCTGACATTCTCACAAAGTAGGCCATTTTAAGGCTGACATCTCACACAGTGGGCCATTTTAAGGCTGACATTTCACGAAGTAGGTCATTTTAAGGCTGACATCTCACACAGTAGGCCATTTTAAGGCTGACATTTCACAAAGTAGGTCATTTTAAGGCTGACATCTCACACAGTGGGCCATTTTAAGGCTGACGTCTCACACAGTGGGCCATTTTAAGGCTGACGTCTCACACAGTGGGCCATTTTAAGGCTGACATCTCACACAGTAGGCCACTATGTCCATACCTAAAATGGATTTACAATGGAATTGATATATCATACAATGTAGGAGGAAATAAATTGTTACATAGTGACTTAGCAATTTACGGTTTTGAAAGATCAAATTATTATTCATCATGAAAGATTGAGATATAGGTCTATTTATATTTCAGTGCTTAATATGGTATAACTTTCCTGGCTTAAATGTCTCGTTTTCTGCTGATGCGAACAATTTTTCTGTTCCATGGTGGTCCTCGAACCCGATAGATGTAGGCTTCAATGCAAAAATAAAGGACAACATTTGATTTTAAAAAGATAAGTAAGTAAACAGTGGAAAATACTATAATAAGACTGCTGTAAAAAGTCTAACCTAAGGCATTCAATACTGTAAATTCTTATTAAAAAAGGGTTAATATTGTTGTAAAAATGTTGTTGATTTATTTTAAACTGTCTGTTCCATCTCTTATTCCACCTCCCGATAAAGACGTGTCTATTCCACCTCCCGATAGAGACGTGTCTATTCCACCTCCCGATAGAGACGAGTCTATTCCATTTCCCGATAGAGACGTGTCTATTCCACCTCAAGATAGAGACGTGTCTATTTCACCTCCCGAGAGAGACGTGTCTTTTCCATCTTCCGATTGTGACATGTCTTTTCCATCTTCCGATTGTGACGTGTCTTTTCCATCTCCCGATAAAGACGTGTCTATTCCATCTCCAGACAGAGTCGTGTCTATTCCATCTCCCGATAGTGACGTGTCTATTCCATCTTCCGATTGTGACGTGTCTTTTCCATCTCCCGATAGTGACATGTCTATTCCGTCTGCCGATAGCGACGTGTCTATTCCATCTTCCGATAGTGACATGTCTATTCCGTCTCCCTTTATAGTCGTGTCTATTTCATCTCCAGATAGAGTCGTGTCTATTCCATCTCCCGATAGTGACGTGTCTATTCCATCTTCCGATTGTGACGTGTCTTTTCCATCTCCCGATAGTGACATGTCTATTCCGTCTGCCGATAGCGACGTGTCTATTCCATCTTCCGATAGTGACATGTCTATATAGTGATGTCATCTCCAGATGTCTATTCCATCTCCCGATAGTGACATGATAGTGACATGTCTATTCCGTCTCCCTTTATAGTCGTGTCTATTTCATCTCCAGATAGAGTCGTGTCTATTCCATCTCCCGATAGTGACGTGTCTATTCCATCTTCCGATCCAGTCGTGTCTATTTCTATTTCATCTCCAGATGTGACGTGTCTTTTCCATCTCCCGTGTCTATTCGTGTCTTTTCCTCCCTTTATCTCCCGATAAAGACGTGTCTATTCCATCTCCCGATAGTGACGTGTCTATTCCATCTTCCGATAGTGACATGTCTATTCCGTCTCCCTTTATAGTCGTGTCTATTCCATCTCCCGATAGTGACATGTCTATTCCGTCTGCCGATAGCGACGTGTCTATTCCATCTTCCGATAGTGACATGTCTATTCCGTCTTCCGATTGTGACGTGTCTATTCCATCTTCCGATAGTGACATGTCTATTCCGTCTTCCGATAGTGACATGTCTATTCCGTCTCCCTTTATAGTCGTGTCTATTCCATCTCCCGATAGTGACATGTCTATTCCGTCTCCCTTTATAGTCGTGTCTATTTCATCTCCAGATAGAGTCGTGTCTATTCCATCTCCCGATATACATACATGAATTGTCAATAAAATGTCTGAATGCTCCGAAGTCAAGCCTGCCGCTGGCTCTAGTTCGCAGCCTACTCAAAGAAATAAGGCAGACTGTTTCAGCAGTCAACCTACAGAGACAACTCCAAGACGCATCATGCCCACATGCTCCAATGGTAAACCCAGGCAACCAAGAAGTCTTGAGAAGCCGCAATATTGAAGGAAAACCATTGATGTCCTGAATCTATTTGAGTAATAGATACCACCGCCATCATTTGAATTTTCTTCGATTTACAATTTGTTGTACATCATATAGAAGTACAAATGTGTTAATTCAGTATATCAGTTAGAGACATAACTAAGACACTTCGCCAAAGAAATCTGTTTTATTATCATAATGGTTTTATCACACTTTCCGCTTTGCTGGAAATTTCTGTTGGACCGGAAGTGCTTGTTCGAGCCTAGGGGATGGTTCTTTATTTGCAGAAGTACTCTTGCCTTTAGCGAGCATGGATCGAATATCGGTTACCATTTCATTGTATCGTTCTTCCGCTATAATATTATTTGTTGTCTTTAGTTGTCGTCGTGTTGCTTCCCGCCTGCTTGCGATTAATTCACTAAAATAATAAGAAATTGAATGGTTACTGATGAAACCATGTATGTAATTTGTTATTATCACAAATAGTAGGAAGGAAAAACTGTAGGTTTCAAATCACTGCTTATGTTTCTTTTGAAAAAAACAAAGCACAAAAGAAAAGGAGAAGAAGGGAAAAAACATGGGAAAAACATGGCAAAATGGGAAAATATTAACATAATTAATATTATATAAAACTCATAAAATCGGAATTGTTTGGGGGGAAGAAATTTGTTCATTTAAAAAAAAATTCGTTTTGAACTTACTGAAGATCAACATTGGTGTTTTTGTCTTTGTCCATTTTCTTAAACAGATGGTCTAGACCATCTTCGGATAGAGTGATGTTCATCATCTACACGAAAAATATGATAGTTTGTTAATGCCATATCTGGTAAGAGTAACAAATTTTTTTTAATGTAACGCCCAGAAAGTATTTGATTCACTTTTCGTTTAGGGTTAAACAACGTCACTGTTGTCGATATACAAACTTAACTTCCCTGATTCTTGTCATAGGAAATTAAAAGACACCGAACTGATGATATGAGGTGATTTGTCTCAAGGCTAAACAGTAGATTTTTGCACCTGTGATTTCTTTGATGGCAAAAAAGGAATCTCCTGTTAGCAATAAAGTCAAAATAATCGGCTCTGTTTGGAACAAGCGTCATTGCAAATTTTCAAAAGATTGGCATCAACTTGGTTGGTTTGCTGGCAACGAATCTTCAGGTCTGAGGTGTTTTATTTCAAAGATGTCCTAAGCCGTGCTATTCATGACGATCATAAATCAAGAAAGTTATCGAGTGATATGACATCGTTATGACCGGTGCACATTTGTTTGTAATATAATATGTATCTACAATTATTGATATTTCAGTGCACAAGTTTGATTAACATGATTTACGGTTTCCGTTAATGTAAATTCTAAAATAGGAAAAAAGATCTCGTGCTATAGAAGTGTGCACTTACAAGAAAACCCTCCCGGAACTCCTCTCGGGAGATTGCATTATTCTGATCTCGGTCAAAGTTCCTGAAAAGGTCAATCAGTCGCAAGTTTTCACGCTTCATATACTCAAACAATACAATGACAGGGTCGTAGTCCTGGTGTTCTATCCGCACCGTAATGGGTGAGAATCTGTGACCCACTGGCTCACGGTGGATGACAATGATATCATGGACAGCCTGTAGATCGCGTTTAGCCTTGCATAGGTTTTCGTCGACAGGTGTGTCCTAAAAAAAAGTATTCCACACAAGTTAGGATGTCATTTTATGGTTTTGAAGAAAACTGTTCATCTCCTTTAAGTTTTTGTATTTTTTTTAAATTTTTGTAATTCATTTATTTTTGACAAGTTTTTACAAATTACATAATACACAATATACAAGAGAAACCACACAAAAACATACACCCACACTCTCACACTTGTGTGCTATGACTTGAATATGTCTTACACATATACATGCATCATCATCATCATCATCATCATCATCTTAATCATCATGCACATGTATCTACTTCTTCCTGCACACAAACTCACTCATCAACATTCACACCCACTTACACTCACATAGCAAACTTACGTATACTTAACAAAATACTCACACACACAAATACAATATCATATCACTTACACTTATCAAAGACATTTTCTCACGTTATACTCATTAGTAAATTAAAACAGCACTAATTTTGTGGAAATTAAATAAACTTAAAATCAGTTTGGTAAAGTCAAGGCCATGTTTCTGAATCAGAAGAATGTCAAGAAGAGATTCAAATCTCTCCAATAGAGTCTGTACCTCTATACTTAGAATTGTAGAAATCTACTTTAATGTGTCCTTATAGAAATCATACACCACAGTTTATCATTTAAACAAATGTATATATAATTTTCAGAAATTCTATCCTTTCACAAACGTTCGCGCGGTCCTGGTTGCGTCACAACAGGTTTGCATTGTAATAAGCAGAACTGAATGAAATATTTGTGTAAATTATAGAATCAACAGAAAATAAACCTAACGAAGTAATAAAATTGTAATTCCAACAGAGAGTTCAGTGAACAGAATGAACAATTGTGTATTGACACAATACATATAACCAATATTCGGCGCTATATATAGACAGTTTGGCTGAGAGTATTCCCACAAACTTCGTCTCCCCAAACTAACCACAGGAGAGATATTTTGATGTTGTTGATAGAGTTATAAGTCATAAAAATGAGTTCTTAAAAGGCACAAAACATCCACAAATCTGCAACTTGGGTGCAATATCCCTTAAAGTACAAATTTTACATTATTAATGTATTAAAATGTTATTACTATATAATGTGTGTGGAAATATCCACTAGTTATTTTCATCAACATAATAAGCCTTACATGAATGTCAATCTTGGTCAAGGATGTAGTTTGGCAGTGTTGCAAGGCTATACATAAAGCCTCGGCACCTTCTGTTGTAATGGGGTTGCCATGCATCTGGAACAAAGGGACAAACTATGAGACATCCAACATGAAACCGAAATTTACAAAACAACCTGAGTCATTGTCCTAACATAAAGAACGAATTCCAGCATACAAGAAATACGCCGGACAACAAATTCGACATTGAGAAAAAAGTCCCAGGTATGTTGTACAGTTTTATGCATATAACAGAGTCTAGGACTGACTTTATTTGGCAATACGCGATTATTTTCCGCATATTGCAAAGCATGTGCACGATCCATCAACTTAGCAAATGATCACGTGACACTTTACATACCTTAAGAGTTGTGCAACACATGTCCTATTGTAAGAGTTATGGGACATATGACCTACCTTAAAAGTTATGAGACACGTGACATACCTTAAGAGTATGAAACACGTGGACACGTGACCCGCCTTAAATGTTTTGACACTGTTAGCTTCCTTTAGAGTTATGGCACACGTGACCAATCTGAAAGGCTTTTAGACACTTGACCCACTTTAGTTGTTACGAGACATTTGACTTTCCTTAAGAGAATGAGATAGCTAACCAACCTTAAGAGTTTGTGACACATGACCTACCTTTAGAGTTTGTGACACGTGACCTACATTTTGAGTTATGGGATATGTGACCTACCTTTAGAGGCACGGGACACGTGACCTACCTTTAGAGTTATGGGACACGTGACCTACCTTTAGAGTTCTTAAGGTGTCATTCTTAACCAGACCTTCGATAAAATACCCGAGAGAATGGAAAGCTATCCGATTGTTGGATATGTCCAGTGATACCAAGGTATGATTGTCTCCCAGATAGGTTCTGAATGCCCGGCATCCATCCTCCCCTAATCCATTCCAGGACAGATCCACATCCAGTAGCTCAACGTTGTTCTATAAATGGTAAATTATATCTGTTAGTTTAGTAATAACATTTGTCTCACCAAGTCTTATGATAATTGTTAATCTTCATAAAAATATTATAAATCGATCTGTTTTCCCCGGATATATACTTACACATATGGCCTTGACTATTGAGGTGGCCCCAGTTCGCCGGAAGTGGTTCCACCCAAGAACCAATCTCTTCAGTGAAACATTCCTGGCTAGATCAAAATAGATTTAATTAGCGAAGATTTTAGATATAATGAGTCATTTTTTTCTCTTCAAATGTCAAACAAATAGAATATAGAATAAAATACATGTATGAAAGATACGAAGATCAAGGCACATGGACTATCCATTTAATAAACCGCAGGGCATTATGTAATTTTTCTAATTACGGAATATTTCAATGGTTACTTTAATCTGTAAAACCTTAAAGGAAGTTGTAACTACGGACTGTGCCATTTTCTTACCGCGGTTCTGAATTACACGTATTCTCTTCCGCTCGTTCATAATGATAGGCATTCTTACATAGTACAAAAAGGAAAAGGAAAATAGAAGGATTAAAGAAACTTAAAGACAAACATAGATTAGTGATACATGAAAAGTTTCAGTCATCTAGACGATTTGCTAGGTACAGTCGGAATCAAATTGTGGCATAGTAGCTGCTGACTATATCGCCGAACAACATACGGAAGACTCGTCGCATGATATCTGCAGCAATTGGAGTAAAAGGTTAAGGACACTGAAACTAAATCTTGTAAAACACAAACCGCCACGTGTAGGGAACGTCAGAACACTATGACAGCGAATCTTCCCGTGTGGCTGCAAAGTCTAATGCTATACCGACAGAGATAATAACACTACTGTTAATTTTGTTAGGAGAGGAATGTCACATTAGTAAGTTAACGTTAAAAGAATCTTGTTTTCAAACACATTCTAAAGTGAGATAACGATATATTTCAACTTTCTGCGGGAATGCAATGACTTGTGAACATTTTTTATCGATGAAACCAAACTGTAAAAAAGGCAAAGTATTTAATATTAGAATATAATATCTGTTGTTTTCTGTTGTTTGTCAGTAGCTAGCTTACTTACAGGCTTGCCCGAGACTTAAGATATATCAATATAACAGCTTTTCCAGTAGCGCCACCCACACCGACGTAGAGATGTAATTTTTTGTCGGTAAAAAGGTTGCCAGAACACTTAAAAAAACTAAAACATTGACAAAAGTATTAAGACCTTTCCTACTTCCGTTTAAAGCGGACCTCTGACCTACATATGTCGGTAATAATCATTCCTAACTTGAGTGTTGAAATTGAACACAAGTGACATGTCGTGTAGCAATGGTCAGACATCGGCATCTGTACCGGAAATTTCTATTATAAAAGCTTATGTACGTACACAACTTAACCAAACGTTCTACTAATGTTTTAATGGTCCGACAGTCGGTGTCCGATTACCTATTGCAGGGGCTAATTTACACGCCGCCAGCTCGTCCAGCTCATTGTGGGAGAGATCCAGGTCAACGATGTAGTCATTTTCCTTAAATGAGAAAAACAGCAGAATTATTATATCCGTCACAATCCTCTGATGGGCGTAAACATTTTTCGGCAAATTGTAATCTCTACGCAGAGTTGTCGTCCTTTACACTAGCCGATCTGTCACAGTCGCAACAAGCAGCTCTTTTCGTAATTCAAGTCTGTGAAAGCTGACACAATTGTATAAGATATATTGGCTTTTCATGATTTCACTCTTGTTGATTTAGTAAGTTTTTAAACTTATTTCGGGGATGTCCATACAAATATCTTTAAGTTCTCTTCTCTGAAAAATATTTTGGAAGAATGTTTGTAAATAGTAATAAATAGTTTATAATACAAGTTCCATTGTTTTGCCGTAAGGACAGAGTATTAGGACAAAATTATTGAATACCCTTATATTTCACAGCATTATATCAAACTTGAAATAGTACAATGATACACTCGTGATGACAACTGAAGAAATAAGACACCGTTGATAAAATTATGTCACCAGAGATGTCAGCCTTACCTCGATCAGCCGAACTAGATCCGAGATGTGTCGATGGTCTAATTTGTTACCTGAAATAGCATCATACATTAAAAGTGTTTGTTCATTTTTGAAATCCTTCAATAACATTTTTTCTTGTATAAATTCCTTCAATAACATTTTTTCTTGTATAAATTCCTTCAATAACATTTTTTCTTGTATAAATTCCTTCAATAACATTTTTTCTTGTATAAATTCCTTCAATAACATTTTTTCTTGTATAAATTCCTTCAATAACATTTTTTCTTGTATAAATTCCTTCAATAACATTTTTTCTTGTATAAATTCCTTCAATAACATTTTTTCTTGTATAAATTCCTTCAATAACATTTTTTCTTGTATAAATTCCTTCAATAACATTTTTTCTTGTATAAATTCCTTCAATCAATAACATTTTTTCTTGTATAAATAAGTATTCTAATTTTCAAACAATAGAAAAAAAGTACAACGCTTGATAAGCAGATCGTTTTAGAATATTTTCTGACAGTAATTTTTGTCATTACAATCGCTTTAACTGACATGACTACCCAGTAAAAACACGTTTTGTAGATGAATAGTTTGTCAGATCACAATTCAACCACCAACTGGATCTCGTGGGACTCAGACCAGTAGATCGACGATGGAAGGGAGATAAATCGAACAACTTAGACAAACTCAAACCTGCCCACATTCTCAACAGATAAAAATGAACCAAAATCTTGTTTCAAGTGGCATCACATATCTTAACATTCGACTTCATTTTGGTTTGAGCTGTTTAATTTTGTAAAACAATTTAAATACGAAAGTGTGATATAACACCTATGATCATTTGACTAGTGAAATTATTCTCAATGGTACAGGTCTCACAACGTGTGTTTTCAGGATGTTATGTTTGTTAATCACGTAGTGTTTTAATGTAATATGTTAGCACGTTGTTTCTAAATATACCCTGTGTGAATGACAAATATACCTACACCCCGTGTGTGTGTTTCTTTGGGGTTTTTTTTCGTAATATGCTCTCTGTGAATGACAAAAATACCTACACCCCGTGTGTGTGTGTTTCTTTGGGTTTTGTTTCTAAATATGCTCTCTGTGAATGACAAAAATACCTACACCCCGTGTGTGTGTGTTTCGTTGGGTTTTGTTTCTAAATATGCCCTGTGTGAATGACAAAAATGCCTACACCCCGCGTGTGTGTTGCGTTGGGTTTTGTTTCTAAATATGCCCTGTGTGAAATGATAAAAAACCTACACCCCGTGTGTGTGTGTTTCTTTGGGTTTTGTTTCTAAATATGCTCTCTGTGAAAGACAAAAATACCTACACCCCGTGTGTTTGTTTCTTTGGGTTTTGTTTCTAAATATGCTCTCTGTGAATGACAAAAATACCTACACCCCGTGTGTGTGTGTGTTTCTTTGGGTTTTGTTTCTAAATATGCTCTCTGTGAATGACAAAAATACCTACATCCCGTGTGTGTGTGTTTCTTTGGGTTTTGTTTCTAAATATGCTCTCTGTGAATGACAAAAATACCTACATCCCGTGTGTGTGTGTTTCTTTGGGTTTTGTTTCTAAATATGCCCTGTGTGAAATGATAAAAAACCTACACCCCGTGTGTGTGTTTCTTTGGGTTTTGTGTGAATGACAAAAATACCTACACCCCGTGTGTGTGTGTGTGTGTGTTTCTTTGGGTTTTGTTTCTAAATATGCTCTCTGTGAATGACAAAAATACCTACATCCCGTGTGTGTGTGTTTCTTTGGGTTTTGTTTCTAAATATGCCCTGTGTGAAATGATAAAAAACCTACACCCCGTGTGTGTGTTTCTTTGGGTTTTGTTTCTAAATATGCTCTCTGTGAATGACAAAAATACCTACATCCCGTGTGTGTGTGTTTCTTTGGGTTTTGTTTCTAAATATGCCCTGTGTGAAATGATAAAAAACCTACACCCCGTGTGTGTGTGATTGTTTTGTTTTGTTACTATATGATGTCGTTGATCTCATATGTATCTACTGTATAAACAGTATTTCTAAATTCTTGATTAATGCTTGTTAGGCAATTTTATAAATTGTGATTTGTAAATTGCAGAATTGAAATTCAAGGTCAACTGAAACAATACAAACTTGATTTTTTTGTCGACTTGACGCGGTACGTACCAGAAAGATTGAGTTTGGTAACTGTTCTGTTTATAAGTAGGGCGCTGATCAGAGCATGTATTCCCGTAGCCTCGAGATTCGTGCTTGTCAAGTTCTAAATAGATAAATGAATGAAGAAATAAATAGATAAACAAATAAATAAATAAATTACTGTAAAGTCTGTTATTTTCAAAGACGTAAATAGCTACCACGAAAACAAACTACATGTAGGCAATTTCAGTTTCGTTTTATGACCTCGGCGAAGAATATGTAGCAAATCAAGTTTTACTATAAACATAATGGACAACATTATTACAAAATGTATATCAACATTTTCCCGAGTGAGATGTACCTACAACATCAGTGGAGGAGGTTGAAAAGATTAGTAACGAAAATGCACATTAGTCAGTGATGAAGACTTTCAAGGTCACTGAAGACTTGAAATGTCATGTGATGAAGATTAACTAGGTCAGTTACAAGGTCAGTGATGAAGACTGAAAATGTCCGTGATTGAGATTTACAGGGTCAGTGATGGATAGTTATAGGGTCAGTGATGGGTACTTATAGGGTCAGTGATGGATACTTATAGGGTCAGTGATGGGTACTTATAGGGTCTGTGATGGATAGTTATAGGGTCAGTGATGGATACTTATAGGGTCAGTGATGGGTACTTATAGGGTCTGTTATGGGTACTTATAGGGTCTGTGATGGATACTTATAGGGTCTGTGATGGATACTTATAGGGTCTGTGATGGATACTTATAGGGTCAGTGATGGGTACTTATAGGGTCAGTGATGGATACTTATAGGATCAGTGATGGATAGTTATAGGGTTAGTGATGGGTACTTATAGGGTCAGTGATGGGTACTTATAGGGTCAGTGATGGGTACTTATAGGGTCAGTGATGGATACTTATAGGGTCAGTGATGGATAGTTATAGGGTCAGTGATGGGTACTTATAGGGTCAGTGATGGGTACTTATAGGGTCAGTGATGGATACTTATAGGGTCAGTGATGGGTACTTATAGGGTCAGTGATGGGTACTTATAGGGTCAGTGATGGGTACTTATAGGGTCAGTGATGGATACTTATAGGGTCAGTGATGGATAGTTATAGGGTCAGTGATGGGTACTTATAGGGTCAGTGATGGGTACTTATAGGGTCAGTGATGGATACTTATAGGGTCAGTGATGGGTACTTATAGGGTCAGTGATGGGTACTTATAGGGTCAGTGATGGGTACTTACAGGGTCAGTGATGGGTACTGATAGGGTCAGTGATGGGTACTTATAGGGTCAGTGATGGATACTTATAGGGTCAGTGATGGGTACTTATAGGGTCAGTGATGGATACTTATAGGGTCAGTGATTCAGGGATGGAGACTTGCAAGGTCCGGTTTGATGGAAACTGACAAGGTCATTAATGGAGACTGACAATTTTCAAGGAGGAGACTTACAAGGTCAATAATGAAAACATGAAAAATTCAGACTGGGACTTACAATATCAGTTATAAAGACGTTTTCGCGAATAGCGTCGGCCAGACTTAGCGACCCTTTCAGTCCAACATCATTTCCGGATACGTCCAGCCGCAGTATGGTAGTGTTGTTCTTGAAAATAAGTGAATGAAAAACAGATGACAGTTACAACAAAACTGTAAGAATAAATAAATACTTATATCGGATTCTCTTCACGAATTAAAACTTGCTTTACAAATCAGCATCTATATGATCAAATCATGTCACACTTCAATCCGGATACTCACCATCAGAAAATGGCTCATTATCCGGATATCGCGTTCCGAGATGTAACTATGAGAAAGGTTCATTGTGGTGCTGTCCATCTGGCGGAGAAAGGCAGAACACGGAACAACACCCAAGGTTCCGCATAGGCACTTGTAATGCTTTTTAGGGTCATAGTCCCAAGATTTCGAACCTTCCTCTGAAACAAAACCTTTTCATTCGGTTTCATTAATATCATGGTTTGTTTTTGTTCTAGCTATTTAGGTAGACAATAAGTTCTGATTCAGTCATGTTTGGAGCATCTTATTCTATGTATTCCTCGGGGAATTTAAGGTAGACCAAAAATAAGTGCCAAGTGACAGTGACAGGAAAGGTACGATACATATAAATTAAGTAAACAAGCGCCAGGTTTAATCCCTGGGAACTAACTTAAATCGTGATGACCATGAAATTTTAGCCCCTCAAAATTAGCATATACAGTAAGGTATATCATCTTGGTACATTTTATTGTAGATTTTGTTCATTGTTCAAGACTGATCATGCTACAATGTAAATTAGAGTTACTTAAAACTTTTGTCGAAACAGATGTACCAAAGCCTGAATACAGTAATTTGTTTTAATTTTCGAGGTTTCAAAATTTCGTGGTTTTACTGCAGAATGATTATTCTTTTTCAAAATGTATTTTTTTGTACGATCTTGTTCCATACCCGGAAATATCAATTACTCTTGTACAGCCGAAAGATAAAATTGCGCACGTGTTTTTTTAATCTATGTTTTTTTTTAACTTTCAGTTAGTTTTGGTAACGCTGTACTTAGTTAGAAATGATAAATATATATGATTTATCAAAAAGTTTCTGGACATTTGAATCATTTCTTTACAGTTTTATCAGTACTACACAATGATATGGATCAATATATATGATTTATCAAAACGTTTCTGGACATTTGAATCATTTCTTTACAGTTTTATCAGTACTACACAATGATATGGATCCTTCTAGAGGACAGGTATATAAACATTATTTCGTGAATTCTGATACTGAGGACTGTAGTGAGGCCATTGTCCTTTGTACAGCAGGAACCTGAGACCTTGTTAAAATCCTGACTTACATAGAGATATTCTGGTCTGTTAAGAAGATGGTTGTAATTAGACCAAATGCTGATCTTATCTCCAAATAACAAGGATCAATTATCAGGTCCCTGTGGCAAATACAATCTATCTATCTTTTTCATATGTCTTCGTCAAAACGCTTTCATTTTTTGTTTGTTTATTTAACACAACACAACCCCAACCCCCTAACCCCCCTCCCAAAAAGAAACAAAACATGAGCCCATATCTATTTTCTATACTGTGTAACCTGCGTCCCGGAGCATGTCTTGTTTGATTAGCTATAAACATAGTGACATCATCAAAGAGAGAGCTATTACAAAGTGACAATAGAATCAACACAGATATTATTGTATCAGTCAAATTAGATGTTGTTTTGGAAACATTGCAAAATTATCCAAGTCATGTGATAGACAGAACAAATTTAATGTCAGAGACAGCTGTTTGAGATTTAATTTACTGTACGGATGAACGCCATAAAATCAGGGGCGAGACATCATTCAGTGTTTTAAAACGCCACCATAGAATTGACAAAGACATGAAAGATAAACAGTTATCTAACCTCCAATGTCTGAATCACTGTCTGAATATTCTTGGTTCCACCAATCTTCCGACAGCATTGATAATCTTTCGGATCTCATGCGATGAGCTGATTTCAACAGACTACTATATTTCCTTAAACCCAATTTTTTGATTACGTCATCATCGTGATAATCGATAGCTGGTGGTGCAGTTTCTGTTCGCTCACGCGCTACCTTCTTCCCCGATTCTCTCTTTATTTCACTGTAAAATGTGCTACAGTTACGTATGTATCTAGGTTTTCCATTACGGATGCCGATCATGTGGGTGCTTTTCCCTATTGCCACACGATTGGCTGTCGGTGAAGTGACTGACATCGTCAAAGTATCTAAAAATAAAACACAGAAAGCAATGCATCTTATACCGTAATGCAATCTCCTCATTTTCAACTTTCGACATCAATTGGTGAAATCGAATTTTATACAAGGATTGTGTATGAGTCAAACGAAAAAGAAGCTGTCTCTTAGCTTTGAATGTTTGATTTTATTTCCATCCTCTATTGTAAGTGTGTTACTTTTGCAATGACCTGGAAGATTAATTAATTGTGGGTTACCTTGATTGTATCAATTGTGACGTCATTAAGTCATTACGTCAATCGGCAATGAGGAAAATGATGCAAAGCCACAAATTATTTTGTTCAATTTTAATAAATTATTGACAATTTTAATCTCTAGTCAATTGTAGATTTGCCAACAAAAACAGCACGGTCGTCAAATATCCTATTTAATGCTGCATTCCTGGGACAGGGACACATTGTCTAAGATGAGAAAATAAAATGCGTGGTTATCAACATTGAATAATGATTATGGTAATTCTATAGATAAAAGTCGGTTTTAATTGTCATACATCTTCAGTCGTCATTATAAATATATATGAAGATTTCTTATATATTTTTGTATCTATAAGAAATTTGATAAGTAACAACGACAAATCTGAATTGTTCTGAACTATTGGCATAGACCTTAGCACGTATTTCAGTAATGAACCAATCTAAAATCTTACCTTTTTAAAATAGATATTCCTCGAGTTTTATTCCATTTGAAATCAATCCATTGTGAATTACAAGTAAACTTTATGTAAGGGACCGTTCAGACAAGTCAGTCTTAAAAGTCACGGTCGACTGACAATGACCACTGTTTATCGCCCTACGGACGCGGTCAGTGGCATGTCTGGACACAAGTCCGTCATAACAATGACCGTAATCCTGTAAGATGAACGTTAAGGATAATACTTCAAAATAGACACGATTTGTCTGGACGACACAATAGTTTTAACATATACGGTGATTTAGATAAGAGTAATTTCCTAATGAACATATCTCATTCCTATCGAATCTATCTCTTCTGTTGATTTTAATTGGTCTAAACTTACATTTCAGTATTTCAAACAAGGTACATCGGGACTTTTACATAGTAATTTAATAACAAAACGATATGATATTTATAAGACGTGAAATATTGGTGAGAATTTTTAAAATGTTAGTATAATAAAGACAAAATATATCAAAATGTATGACATAGAAATCAAATATTTGATTGATTGAATTAGACACATGTATCCATTGCCATATTACTCACCAAAACCACTCATTACCTACAAAATTATCACAATTTTTGTAACATATAGGAGACCCTCGGGACAGTAAATAATCATAAAAATGCGTTTGCTTTACGATATCGATAGTCAGGGAAGATTCGTCTTCTGGCTAGAGTTATCTTTCTTATAGCACCACTGGGCAATGTCGACTCTGGTCATCAGCATCACTGGGCAATGTCGACTCTTGTCTTCAGCACCACTGGGAGATGTCGACTCTTGTCATCAGCATCACTGGGCGATGTCAACTCTTGTCATCAGCATCACTTGGCGATGTCAACAGCACCACTGGGCGATGTCACCTCTTGTCTTCAGCACCACTGGGAGATGTCAACTCTTGTCTACAGCACCACTGGGCGATGTCACCTCTTGTCTTCAGCACCACTGAGCGATGTCACCTCTTGTCTTCAGCACTACTGAGCGATGTCACCTCTTGTCTTCAGCACTACTGAGCGATGTCAACCTCTTGTCTTCAGCACCACTGGGCGATGTCACCTCTTGTCTTCAGCACTACTGAGCGATGTCAACCTCTTGTCTTCAGCACCACTGGGCGATGTTACCTCTTGTCTTCAGCACCACTAGGAGATGTCACCTCTTGTCTTCAGCACTACTGAGCGATGTCAACTCTTGTCTTCAGCACTACTGAGCGATGTCACCTCTTGTCTAAAGCACTACTGAGCGATGTCAACTCTTGTCTTCAGCACCACTGGGCGATGTCACCTCTTGTCTTCAGCACCACTGGGCGATGTTACCTCTTGTCTTCAGCACCACTAGGAGATGTCACCTCTTGTCTTCAGCACTACTGAGCGAGCACTACTGAGCGATGTCAACTCTTGTCTTCAGCACCACTGGGCGATGTCAACTCTTGTCTTCAGCACCACTGGGCGATGTCAACTCTTGTCTTCAGCACCACTGGGCGATGTCACCTCTTGTCTTCAGCACCACTGGGCGATGTCTACTCTTGTCTTCAGCACCACTGGGCGATGTTAACTCTTGTCTTAAGCACCACTGAGCGATGTCACCTCTTGTCTTCAGCACTACTGCGCGATGTCACCTCTTGTCTTCAGCACTACTGCGCGATGTCACCTCTTGTCTTCAGCACTACTGAGCGATGTCACCTCTTGTCTTCAGCACTACTGAGCGATGTCAACCTCTTGTCTTCAGCACCACTGGGCGATGTCACCTCTTGTCTTCAGCACTACTGAGCGATGTCAACCTCTTGTCTTCAGCACCACTGGGCGATGTTACCTCTTGTCTTCAGCACCACTAGGAGATGTCACCTCTTGTCTTCAGCACTACTGAGCGATGTCAACTCTTGTCTTCAGCACTACTGAGCGATGTCACCTCTTGTCTTCAGCACTACTGAGCGATGTCAACTCTTGTCTTCAGCCCCACTGGGCGATGTCACCTCTTGTCTTCAGCACCACTGGGCGATGTTACCTCTTGTCTTCAGCACCACTAGGAGATGTCACCTCTTGTCTTCAGCACTACTGAGCGATGTCAACTCTTGTCTTCAGCACTACTGAGCGATGTCACCTCTTGTCTTCAGCACTACTGAGCGATGTCAACTCTTGTCTTCAGCACCACTGGGCGATGTCAACTCTTGTCTTCAGCACCACTGGGCGATGTTAACTCTTGTCTTCAGCACCACTGAGCGATGTCAACAGCATCACTGGGCGATGTCAACTCTTGTGTTCAGCACCACTGGGCGATGTTAACTCTTGTCTTAAGCACCACTGAGCGATGTCACCTCTTGTCTTCAGCACTACTGCGCGATGTCACCTCTTGTCTTCAGCACTACTGCGCGATGTCACCTCTTGTCTTCAGCACTACTGAGCGATGTCACCTCTTGTCTTCAGCACCACTGGGCGATGTCACCTCTTGTCTTCAGCACCACTGAGCGATGTCAACTCTTTTGTTCAGACAGACTGACATATTTTCGCTCTCTGCACAAGTGATCGTAACCCCTGCAGTCCCGAGGATGACAGACCCACTGCTTTTTTTCTCGAAATTTTAAGCAGGCCATTTGGCTCACTCCATCAAACAAAATTTGATATCGGTGACAAATTAGCCTGTGTTAACCATAGCTAGGGTCTGACTAGAACGACTTGATGAGTCTGTAGTGTAAGCTTAGTTTAAACCTTGTGTAGTTCAAATATGAACGTTTACAGTTATATAATGAGCTAAGTTGTAAATAAACATTGGAAGGATATCAAAAATGTATTACATTTACGGTACAGCTTGAAATAACTTTGTTACGATAAATTCGGCCTCTATGAATAGTCTACTGAAAGGTCAGCGTGACAGGTCGGATTAATTAAAAATAAAATCTCGTATAATTTGTCATCATATTTGCCGATAAATATAAACAACTGAAGGTACATATTTTTCTATTTAAAAAGGAAAATCGATACGGTGTAATGTTGTGTCGATTTATCTGATAACAATGTGTTTTACTACCTTATGACGTCAGTATAATACCGGTGCGTTCGTATCGATTTATAAAATGTGTGATATTGACATGTATTACTTAATATTACGTGATAACACTGTTATAGTTACTGACATCGATAGGATTATATGGTGTATTAAGGGATTAACGCTAAATGTCGGAGTCATTTATAAGGCAATGCTACCACACAAGGTGTATGGTTTTGTTGGTCAGGATATTAAGTGTTTTCCGTGACGAGGTGAAATACATTTAAAAATCACCAAAGAGGCTAAGGAACGTAACGTTAAAATAGTAGATCACAATCTACGTCTTAGTTCTGCTCCCCATACAAGTATGTATATACCCTAGGATTATATACATGTACATCTGTGGAAAGCATTTTTATATCTTACTAGAAAATATAAGTATTGTTTTCTCAAAAAAGGAAAAAAACAGCAACAAACTAACTAACTGACAAACAGACACACCCCCACCTCCTCAAAGTCCTCGGTCCCCAAAAAAGCATAAAGATAAATAGACAACAAAAAATGAAAAAAAAACCCCAAAAAAAACAAAAAATGATAAAGAAACCAGCATGAAGTTCCGTGGATACCCATGAACTCTCTTATGTTTAAAAAAACATTGATTAAAGCATGCAACAGCATACATTTTTGGAAAACCTAATTGATAACTTAATCCTAGACTTGACAAGCTTGGAATCTCTATTGATAATCAGCGACGGATGATCACCTAATGGAGAAAGAAAACTTTCTAACGTCATAAACACGACCTATGACACGAATTCCATTACTTCTTCAATATAAAACCCAAAATAGTTTCCTTTAACAATTTGTGTAAGTGAAATATCCTACCAAACTGCAATATACGACACACAGTATATTGTAGGAGGTTTAACTTACGGCCAAAGGGGAAGTAACTCTTTTGTGATTTAAACATGTTTGGTTTCCTCTTTACAATCTAAGACAAAAGAAGAATTTTAAGTGCAATCTTATTACCAGATACAGTTAGATTGATCGAACATCGAAAGAATTTGATTTATATGTTACCTATAAGCTTTATATAACTCTGTGATACCAGCTGCTGCCACAATGTATGGACTGTGCTCACATCTAAGTGCAGTCCATGTTACTTAAATCAATAGTGTTTATTCAATTTTTAGGATGCTGAAATCATTTAACGATGAGTGTCAGCACTGTTAATGTAAGAAAGGACATGCAAATAAAAAACGGTTTTGGTAACCAAAGGCAATGTTGAGTTTATGAAGGTGACAAT